CCATAGCTAGAGATATAGTGAATTAAAAAGATCTGCAAAGATAAATCTGTGGCAAACTTCCTCGTTAAGTTTGTTTCAAAAACATAGCACATGCATCTCGATCGCTAACTAGACGCCAGCTTCATTTGAATTGTATGGCAGAAAGTGAGGAGAATTACTAATAAGATCTTGGGCATTAAAGGGTTACAATGTGCATTTTACAAACAGTTTCTTGAGATAAGCATTTGGCAGGCTTATTGGATCTGAATGTTACTGACATGTTACATTTTCATCTACTTTTTTCAATCTGTCAGATCTTAGCATCCACAAATGCCAGAAGACTGGTTGTGATGGATGTGGAAACAGGAGAACAAATTGTATCTTATGACAACTGTAAGTGTCATGCAGTTTCTTTCTTGTTTATTTTTCTACTGATTTGTTTTGATTCCCCTGACAAACTACCCCAAGAAAGCAGCACCACTTTTGTTCAAAAAGCAGAATCTAGGGAAGTGTTTCTTATTTTATCCTAAATGTTTTAGTTATTGTCAGTATTTTTAATATGTATTTTTTTTCATTAGGTGTATACAATGGTCCAGACAGGACTGGTTTAGCAGTAGACATTCAAGCAGGTCCTAACATTGCTGCATGCTGCTGTGTGAACGGACGTGGTTTGTCCATTTTTGACCTCAGAATGCCTCTTCCCTTGGATTTCATTTATGACGTAAGTTATTCACTGGCTAGGATCACTTTTCTTGACGACGAAAGGAAAGCCCAAACTTTTGTCAAACATAAAATGAATGGTCAGGAACTATTATCAGCAGTTGGTTGGAAATCCATTCCTGTGATGACTCCAGCTAGTTGTAGAGGCAAATCATGAACAGTATTCCCTATTTGTAGGCATTAGAAGATATATAAGGGGTGTGTTGGAAAAAAAGTATTAAGTTTTGATGCAGTATCAAATTCTCCATATGTTTCACAAGAGGAGCTAGCAGACTACCGCTAGTTACTTCAAGCTACAGAAATTGGAATAAGCTGTTACCAGCAGTACCGGTGATGTGTAACATCAGACAGCAAAGACCTGACACAATGTACCTTCAAATATTTTAAATTTGTATTAATAGACATTCATTTAATAAGCATTACTAATAACGGTGTTAGTCATGCATTTTGTAGTGAAAAAATTCTCCCTATTCTTTTTAGCTTCACAATAATGTCATTCGGGATGTGATGTTTCTTCACGAGAGCTGGCCATGGTGTAAAGGACAGAATGCCCTGTTATCAGTTGCTATTGATGGCACTGCAAAGGTACTAGAACTAGATCACAGCTTGGAAGTAATCAACTTTAGCTAATTTATGCTGAGAAGACATCTCATTTATGATAGTTAGTGCATTTTGGCAGTATTCTTGGGCAGGTCCCTGGATAGGAGGCTGTTAGGTACCTTAAATCTCTTGCTTGTTGTAATTTATATTCAAATTCCCATGACTTGTTCAATGGTGCAAGATGAAAACGTTATGGCACTTTAAATTTGTGATAGACCATTATTGGCCACTGTATTACCATACAGTGGCCATGTGGAAATTTGTCTAAAATTGTAGCAGAAACAATTGTGGTTGGGGGAGAATGGAGCTTTTCATAGGGGATTTTTTAAAAAATGTTTTTGAAGACATGCATGCACATTACAATACAAATATTATGATGAATACCAATTATACTCAGGCTACTATCTAATATACTACAGAATGATATGACTCCATCAGTGACCCAGAAGGCTCAAACACAAACAAACAAGAAAACACAATTAAAGAAAGGAAGTACACCTTAAGAAAAAAAATGCTACTTGAAAAAGGAAACAATACTATTTCTCCTTTTCAGTCCTGTTTTCTTTTTTGTTTGTATCTGAGCCCTTTGGACCATCATGTCAACCCATTGGCACCAGAGTGTAATGTATGCCTATCCACAACTTAAAAATTTGGAGAAACCAGAAAAGTAAACACAATGCACAATAAATTTTTATAAATCATGTTTTCCGAAAAACAAGCTCCAGTGAAAGAAAGCCATTTAAATAACTTATTTTCAATGAAAAAAGTGACAGATGCATATTAAGTTTTCACTTTAACATAAAGATAAAAAATAAATGTCGGTAATATTTTTGCACGTGTGCAGTTATGGGTGAGTCAGGTGTCAATGTGTTAAATGGAAGTATAAAGGAATTAACATTTGTTCAGGTATCAACAATCGATGGACGCACATTACAAAATACTGAGATAGGTTCCATGTTGAACACAGCTGCTCCAACACCAGAACCCTTTGGGTCAATGGCTGATGATGGATTTTATAGTAAGTTGATTTCTTGCTCCTTCACTTTTTTTTACTGCAGGAGGGCCATTCTTTAGCTCATTATATCTGAATGTAATTTCTCCCAAGTTATGTCAATATATTGCTCTGTTTATTGGTTCAGAGAATTTAGTGTTAATTCCAAACAATATTTCCTCATTGATAATTCTCTTAAATTCTCATTGCCTATACATCCAGCAATGCATAAGATTGTTTGGAGAATTTACCTTCTGAGGGTTTATTCATCGGACCGAATGTTTTGTGTAAGAACCAAAATTCTTCTTCATCTGTATTCACATCAAGATAACTCAGTTCTTCACCTGCTTCATTAGCGGAAGAGAACTGAGTTCAGTTGAAAATCTGTCAACTAGCAAATGAATACAGTTTTTTTTGTTGTTGTTGTTTTTCATATGGGGCATGTATTAAATTACAGTGTACTGTTATTTCTAATTTTGAATACCCCATTTTACAGTTACCTGCCTGTCTGCCAACCCTTTGAATGGAAGTTAAGCTAAGGTTGACCTTGTTATGATACAAACATTGCTGCTTGTCAAATTTAAATTGGTTTGATATCATGCTAACTAGAAACTGGTCTCTATCACAACATGGTCACCTTCAGCCTCACTCCAAATCAAAGGCTTGGCAACTAAGTACACAACTGTAAAATGGCCTTTTATAGAGATGTTCAGAAACCATCTGTAAAAGATATTTGATAGACTGGTGAATTCTCCTTCTAAATTTTATTGTTTCCCTGTGAAACACAACGGAAATTTAACATATCCAATCATAACTGCCTTTCAAGGCTCCCTACAGCAAGAAATCTTCCTGACTTCTAAAATTGTCATGTATTTGTTTGGCATTTATTTTTTATTGAAAAAATCGTGTCTCACTGTGGCTTTCCTTGTCTTTATAGGCCTTATTATGTTTGGTGGTGAGCTTCTGACAAGTTTTGTCCCAGAGGTTGGAGTCCAGGAGCGTATGAGAGAGCATGGCAAAGATCCATTATGGAAAATTAAGTATGCAGAAATCAGTGCCTAGGCTCTTCTTTTCTCTTACTCTGTTCTTCCAAGGGGTAATTTTGGGTTCTGGCCGATAACTGAATAGGGCACTCTAAAAGGAACTCAGTACATGTGGAGCTGAATGTGAAGTGATTTGGAGGCTAAGATACTCCAAACTGCAGAAATGTGCATTTGGTATTTAGTTTTTGTGGAACAAGCTGCACTAAATTGATTATTTCAAATATGTATTTTAACATTCTTTTTTTTTTTTTTTTTTAGATATACTTCCAATGGAAGCACACTTTTCACTGCATGTGATGGAGGAGTGATCAGAAAGTAAGGTCAAATATAAATTCTCATGAAGTGTAGTTCCTTTATCTGCATTTTCTCTCTATACTCAGTAAGTAGTAGGTGACTTGGAGACTTAACAGCTACTGTGTGAAACCACCAGGTCAAGAGGTCAAGATTTTAGACGTGGGCTGGTCAATGCATTGTGTTCTTGGCCAAGCCCCTTCACTTTTACACGACCTGTCTCTGCCCAGGATTATGTGAATGGTCCACAGAACAATTTAGATTAATGATTTGGCATCCTTGTTTATATCCCTCTTTGCATTAACAAACCTATTTGTAGTCCCTCCTGCAGATCTAGTGTTGCTTATGTCCATTTGAGCATGGCTTTGAGTACTGTTTTCATCAGATTAATGGTGAAGGGTTGGGGACACTTATTTGAGGCTGGGCACTGAGTATGAAATTTTGTTACCTACAGAGTGGGCACTATTTCAAGGTTGTGTGCTTAATGAATATTGTATATGCAATGACTTTAATTTGTAACAATACAAACTGATCTGTATCTTGTAGATACAGAAGATTCCCTGATCACCATGAGTTTGTGGAGGATCTTTTCTGTCATTCAGATGATGTAGAAGATATTGACATTTCACCTTATGATGAATGTATCCTTGTTTGATACTTAGGAGGTTGAAATCATGTCTACCTGTTCAGTTTGATGTAGTTAATTTTTCAAGGTGTTTGTAGGACATGACAGATGTGAGAATTTTGGCTGGCTACTATGCAGAATTCTCTAGATAAATTTTAATTGGCTGGTTCCTTTCTTAAATTCATCTAGAGAGAGTATCTGTTTTAATACTATTTTCTTTCTGCAAAATTTTTGGATGAAAATGTTGTGTTTGTAATTGCTGGTGAGATCAAGGTTCATACAGGTTTTAAAAGCTCGGAAAGTCACAGAATTATGCAATTTTCCTTTCAAGACCTTGAAGGACATGGAATTAGAGTCTGGGTCATATGTAGTCATAGAAGAGGACTTAATGCACTATTTCTTAGAACAGAGTAAGACAAGAAATATTTAGATTGAAATACTTTTTTCCTGTTATTTTACTGACAAGTTCCTAATCATAGGTCAGGGAAACATCTGAAAATTCTTGCAAAAGGTCTTGGAAAGTTAAAGAATTTCATTTGTTTTACAGAGTTGGCACCCAAGAGAAGAAGATCAATTTTAAAGAACAAAATTTTTTATGTTAGGCAGCCACTTAATTTCTTTAACAACTTTATAGATTTGGTAACAGCTTCCAAGGACCACAGTGTGGGCGTGTTTAAACTTGGACCTCCCAGTCATGGTGTCACTGAGTATGGAGAGATAAGGTAGTATTTGAAACACACTGCAGCTTGAAAATAAAGTTACACTCTGGAAACAAGTAATGATTTACAGAAGGCTTTCAGAAGAGACTGTCCTGAACCAGGGATTTGTGGTACAGATAAGGTGCTGGCAAGTTGTATATTTGCTGGACTACTTGTAAGGAGAAATGAAGACAAAGGAGATAAATGAAATTTGACAGCTATGTTACATGATATGAATGGTATCGCATGGGCTGGGAATAAAGGCTGGTCAACGGACAGGAAGCAATCATCGGATGAGGTTGAACATAGGTTAATTATCATGAATTATCAAAAGAGAGGTATGAGTTATCTGCGGAAGCCAAAGGCTGAGGTGCAT